AAGCTACATGTGTGTATAGCAGTATAGGGATGAGTCTAGCTCAAATATTAGAGGTACCTGCCCTTAAATGACTTTTGTGCAATCTATCATTGAATTTTATTTCAGGCATCAAATATTGAAATATGTTTTTCCGTCTCTGCCTCAAATGTAAAAGTTCCACCTCTTTTTTTTTCGAATTAGTTAAATAGTAAATACTAAATACATAATGAAATTACTGATATTAATTCTCTTTTTTTGGTGTTTTCTCTATGACAATTGGGCCAAGTATGGGCCCATAACCTAAAGTCAAAATCTAAAAAAGTTGTCACTTCTTTTTGGATGTCATCAACCTCGTCCATCTCCTACCTGCTCCATCGCTTCCCCAGCTGCAAATGATATATTCTGTTTCACAAAAACCACCACCACACACAATTTTTAATGTTTACTTCAACTCTATTATGGTTTGATATACTATCTAGCTAATATATAATGCAATACTATTATATAAATAGTCTTTATACTTTACCCAAAAATATTAGTCAATTGTGGTGTCTAAGTAACAAATTAGCTATAGACATTCAAGAGACAATTTTAGCATAATTCTTTGACCTTTACAAAAACATGACGGTGCCAAACATATAAGAACAGTAAAATTAAATTATAAACTTAATTTAAAGGTAGTCTACATCAAAAAAGAAAAGAAAAAATCAAGCTAGGCTACAAGTTTATCATCAAATTGGCCATGTGCTTTTACAGTCAAGTGTAATATTATTCTCTCTGATTCCTCCTTTTATATTATTTTATCATTAAACAAAATCTGTTTCAGGTCTATTTTAAAAATAATATTTTTTTCATCTGTCTCGTCTCGAGAAACAGCCACGACATCTGTTTAATACTCAAACAATTCAATTTATATCATATTTAATTAGATAGTAGTAGCATCATTACTATAAAAGAACGATTATAGATATTAAATATGATTAGAGTAATATATAAATTTTATAATATTAATTATATTGAGATTGATGAATAGAC